CTACTTTTCTGCTATTTCAGCCTTTTGGGCAATTTTACAGCAAATACCGGTAGCTAGTTTTTTGTACATCTTTTCCTTTTTTTTGCAAAAATCTTTCATTCACGCTGTTTTCGTGCAGTTTGAGGAGGAAAATAGCTCAAATTATTGTTGATCAATAATCTACAAGGATGTATTTTTCACATCAACTGGTACAGTTTTGTTGCTTCATCTTGTTCAAATGTGCAAACACACTATGATAGAAATAAAATACTGCTATTCTTCTAAAGTTTCAGAATTGTTGGTTCTGTTGAGTAAAAAAAAACTAAATAAATGACTTGTTTTAGGTGAAACTGTAACATATTGTATTTCCTCCAGGTGGTGATTGCTGTCAGTCAGCTGATAGCTGATGTGATCGGTATTGGGAGTACCCGCTTCCAGCAGTCTCTGTCAATAATCAACACCTGTGCCAACAGTGATAAAACCATAAAGGTGAGGAGATTTAKGCATATAATTATGCAGACTTAAAATAAGATGAAAACAAATTTTTTTTCTGATAACCGCCTGCTCTTCAACAGCACACGGCCTTCCCATCAGACGTGAAGGACCTGACCAAACGCATCAGGACGGTTCTGATGGCCACGGCTCAGATGAAGGAGCACGAGAGAGATCCCGAGATGCTCGTGGACCTGCAGTACAGCCTCGCCAAGTCTTATGCCAGCACGCCCGAGCTGCGCAAGACCTGGCTTGACAGCATGGCCCGAATCCATGTGAAGAATGGAGATCTGTCAGAGGTCTGTGATCCGACACTGTTCAGCTTGGAGTTTTTATCAAACGAGTGAAGATTTTCAGTCATCAGTGGGGCTGGGCGTGAGTTATAGGTTTAAGTTAAAGGACCTGGACTTTTTTATTTTTTGAAAGATGCTTTGCTCAAATCCAACTGAAACACATGACAGGGTTTTTAACTTGCATGTGGACCAGGCCAACCAGACTGAATGACCCACAGGAGGGAGGAGAAGGAGAGGGATTTGCATGTGAGAGCTTTCTAAAATAGCAGCTCTTTTAACTTTGAATTAAGAAAGCTTCTCAAATTAGAAGCATCTTCAAAATTAAAGACATCCAGTTACCTTCACTCAAACCTAACGTCTTTASCAGAGTCTGTATTGTTTGTTCTGGTTTGCTGCTCTGATCAGAGCTGATCTTGTCTGTTTACAGGCGGCCATGTGTTACGTTCACGTTGCAGCACTTGTGGCAGAATATCTTCGSAGAAAAGGTTCTTCCCTCCTCTCTGATAGAAATGTTCCCTTTTCTTTTTCTACTTGCTRGAAGTATTTATCTGATTTTTGCTGAAATATCGTTTTTTGTGCGCAGGCATGTTCAAGCAGGGCTGCTCGGCTTTCCGAGTCGTGACTCCAAACATCGACGAAGAAGCAGCGATGATGGAGGACGTGGGGATGCAGGACGTCCACTTCAACGAGGTACTGAAAGGATTGTTTTGTGCACACTGTGTAGCTTTGGTTGTTTTTATTGCGCCTTGATGTTCTCTCTGTTTGCCGTTCCCTTCAGGATGTCTTGATGGAGCTTTTGGAGGAGTGTGCAGACGGATTGTGGAAAGCGGAGCGATACGAGCTCATCTCTGACATCTACAAGCTCATAATCCCCATTTATGAGAAGCGCAGGGACTTTGAGGTAAACTACCACTCATTAGGAGCGTCACTTCCCATCCTGACATTTATATCTAATTTAGCGACATTGTTAACCGGAACAGAAACTGGCTCACCTGTACGACACGCTGCACCGTGGCTACAGCAAAGTGACGGAGGTCATGCACACAGGAAAGAGGCTGTTGGGCACATACTTCAGAGTGGCTTTCTTTGGCCAGGTGAGTCACACAGCAGTAATATATTCTGAGGTTATTTTAAGTTGATTTGTCCAACGAGGCCTGTTGTTTCTGATTACTGAATCTTGAACTCACAGAAGACTAAGTAGAAATGATTTTTCCTCTGAAAGCTGCTGAGGGTGTTACGTTTTTGAKAGCATGACCTCATGCAGCAGCAGTTTTTGACCCACTTTAATCCACTTTTCTGCTTTTTTTTTTAATCCTCTTTGAAGGCGGCGGTAAGTCACGCAGGAGACCCTGCTCCCTTCTTGTGGACAGCCTGAGTTTCTCTGTGGCGTTGGTGCTCTGTTTTTAATCCATCTGCGCTTGTGAAWCACAGCTCGCTGCTTTAAATTACACTCGGACCATTCCGTGTCAGCTCGTGGTTTCCTGTAATTTCTAATTTTATATTTGTTCCTGTAGGGTTTCTTTCTGTTGAAAGGTGAATCTATGAAGAAACGTTTCAGAAGTTTTCAAAAAAAATTTATGAAATTTAGTGGTTAAAAAAACACTTAGAAATGTTTTATGTCTTTTGTTTTGTTTGTATCAGTTTAACACATTTGATCAAACTTTTACTCTAAAATTTTATTCTTACATTGTTTAGTTTACAGTTTTGAGAGCTGGGAATATTCAGATTCTATAAAATGTTTTATTTATAATAATGGCAAAATTATCTAAATACAATTTGAATGAATCATTTTATAATGTTTTAAATAAACCTGAACTGTCTTTATC